ACGCTAAAACTGGTAGCTCTGCTTACTAAAGGGGCAGCTCCATTGGCTGGTCCGAAGCCGCCATCGTCACCTAAGCCAACCAGCCCGAACGACCCCTACATAGCACAGTGGCCTGAATGTGTAGAAAAGGATTCGAGTTCTAACTTAGCAATACAAGTAGAATAAAAAAACTAAGAACCCTGAGGAATAATGTAAGTACGTGCTCACGCTTCTGTATTATATACTCAACAAAACCTCACACTGCAACTGCAAGCCCTACTTCGTACAGGGTAAGGTAACTTGCTTCACAAGGCATTTCAAGGGCACAATGCCCTCCCCCACTAAACAGGACGCATTGAAGCAAGTTGAGTACCCGTCATGTATTAGGTTCCATGTTTAAGGGCTACGGGTTTTCTGGTTTTAATTATTTAAAACCTCGGCGGACTTAAAAAAGCCTAAACCCTAAAACCTGTATTTATCACTCATGAGAATACCTAAAGGGTTTCCCATACCCGACTTCATAAGGCCCGGGATCAAAGGATCTCTGGGGTTTATGGATTTAAAATTTTAGGGATTAGTTTAATGTTCAGAATATATGGTTGTTCTATCAGGGTTCGGAACTCCAAACCCTATGCCTATGCCCTTAACCCGTTAACCCTCGCTTGGGGGCTTTGGGGCCGTATAGCGGTTGCGGTGGTTTCGACTGCGGGTTGTGCGGTGCAGCGTTTAGGCGAAACAACTTATTGAGGTGTGTATACTGGTGTAGAAGCACAAGAGACCCCACAGCAAAACGTTGTCCAAGCTCAACCCACCGTCAAGCGGAAGAAAATATGAAGAACGTCTTTCAAACAAGATGCAACACATGCTGCAAGCCGTGTCAGTGGAAGACAAAAATTTCGTATTCTGGGAGAGCCCAGCGAATCCTGTTAGATCAGGAACAGACCCCACGGTATGAAAGGATTCTTAATGCGATGAAAGGTGGGCTCCTCAACTAGAGGTTTTCGGCATTACTCGGAAACTGACATACAGGCGCTAAGACTTAAGGAGGTTTACTGTAAAGATTACCCTGGACCCTAAACCCTGAACCCTCCCCACATTAACCATACCCGCCCCGTTTCTCACCTTGCTGGGCTGATCCCGCCACTGCCCCGCGCCACGTGAAGCGCATGGCCGTTCTGCAGAACTAGCTGCTGCACCTGTGGGGCAAACTTCCTATCAAGGGTCATCTAGGGATTGGGGTTTTAGGGGTTAGGTGTTACTGGTTTGGGGTTTCGGGCAAAAATAGGGCTTTGGGCTTTGGCGTTTTAAGGTTTTTGGGTGCTGTGCTTAAGACCCCCAGTGTTGTAAGACTTTCGGAATTCTAGACTTTGCATGTCATCAAATAATAACTACAAGCCGCTTGTCATTCTCAAGTCGTTTGTGTCATTGGCCCACGAATATGACAAAAAACGAGACCGAAATCACAAAAGATGACAATGCTTCTGGACATGTGCAAATTTCGGTTCCGCGCCCCACCAAAGTGACAAAGAATGACACCAGAATCCCCAACCCTCACCATTTGAAATTTGGAGCGGCTCCCAAAAGGACAAATAGGACCCCCCCGAACCCTTCACGATTTGGCGGCTGTTCCTTTGCAGAAGGCTGACAGTTTTGGGGTTTAGGGTTTAGGGTTTAGGGTTTAGGGGTTTAGGGTTTAGGGTTTAGGGTTTAGGGGTTTAGGGTTTAGGGGCTGATTGGTTGCACGATTTGGAGCGGCTCCCCAAAAGGACAAGTCTCAACCGTTCACGATGCGGGGTGGCCTCCCCAAGGCACGAAGATGGGACCCCCCCCAACCCTTCACGTTTTGGAGAGCCGTTTTAAAAGGACAAGGATGGGACCCCCCGATTTGGCGGCTGTTCCCTTCCAGGAGGCTGACAGCTGATCTTCTTTTGCCAAATTCTGCTTAAAATGTGCCGTTTACATTGGGCTGTCGGCCGATCTCGGGGTTCCCGCCAGTTCGACAACTCCTGCCAGCAGAGCCTCACAGAGAGCCCCATCCAGAGAGGGACAGACTCACAGAAAACCCATCATATGCATTATTGCTTGTCTGTCAAAACTCCCGCCAGCACAGCAGCCCGGAAAGCCCACTGTTTCTTCTGGCACCCGCCAGGACAGCCTCACAGAAAGCCCACATGAGAACCCGCCAGCACAGCCTCACAGAAAGCCCAATCCAGAAAGGGACACCGACATGCATTACGCACAGGTGCGGCGGCATGGGTGTGCACACACCAGCAAACACCCATGACGTCACCACACCCTAAACCCCAACTTCCTAAACCCTAAACCCCAAATCCCTGAACCCCAACTTCCTAAACCCTAAACCCCAAATCCCTGAACCCCAACTCCCTAAACCCTAAACCCCAAATCCCTGAACCTCAACTCCCTAACTATCTCTAAGCTTCGCGCCTGCATTCCGTGGAGAAGCTGCTCGAACCTCGCTCTTTCGAGGACTCTTCGGGGTAACAGGACCGAGGCTCTGGGCTTTAGGGCTTTTGGGGGGTTTAGGATTTAGGGGATCCTTGAAGGGTTCCTTTAAAGGGATGTTTATAAAAGGGATCTATATAGGGTCTTGGGGGCTTTAGGGTTTCGGGTTTAGGGCTCGGGGTTTGGGGTTTAGGGTTTGGGGTTGAGGGTTTAGGGTTTAGGGCCGTTTTGTCTTAAGGTTTAGGGTTTAGGGTCCTTAAAGGAACCCTTAAGGCCTTAAGGATCCCTTTAAAGGTTAAGGCCTCGATCTCACGGAAGCACTGGCTGCCTCCAAGCACTTGCACCGGCTAAGCAGGCTGCGGGTTTTGATACCCGACGAGCAGCTACCTATACCCGCCTTATAGGGGTTTAGGGTTTAGGTTTTAGGGTTTAGGGTTTAGGTTTTAGGACCATAATAAAGGTTAATAGTTCTAATATCCTCTTGGAATTATAGGAGCAAAATTTTAAAAAATATTTCCTAAGGAGACTATAGCTACCGCCATACCACGTATGGGGACATGCTCCGTCCCTGCTTCGGACACCGGCCCGATGGCATCTGGGCCGCCTTTCAGCCGAGCACGACCCCTTGGCTTGCTCTGTGTGGTACTGTTCCATCGACCCCTTTAGGGTTTAGGGTTTAGGGTTTAGGGTTTAGGGTTTAGAGTTTAGGGTTTAGGGTACCAACTGGTCAACCAGGGGTTGGAGGAGGCCACCTTCGATGGATTTGCGGCTGTCCCCTGGTTGTCTAGGCGGGACGTAGCACACCGCAAAGAGGTGGTACGCTGCCAGCAGCATCTGCTGAAGGTTCCCAGGCAGGCACGTCAACGAGATGGCAACGGCTTGCTCTGCCTCTGCTGGTGCCAGCTGCAGGTACGGGTCCTCCACCGTGCTGCACTGTTTTCTGTTTGCCGCTTGGCATCAAAACTGTGGTGTTAACGGCGGGGGCAAAGAGAGGCCGTGACGCCTCCTACATTCAGCCGGGGTATCTGCGGCTGTGCAAATAAAGGCAACTATACTTCGTATTGTCTTATTATGTATAAGGACAAGTAAGGTACTCATACTCTGACTTCTGCTACGCCCCACGATCCATGTAGGGTTTAGGGAGTAGGCTTGCTTGGCTTGACACTGAACCCCTGCTGTGGAGGGTGCAGGGGTTGGCGTGGATGAAACTTGCAATCCTAAGACCGGAACCCCAACCCCTTTGAAATCCTAGGCCTTAACCCTAAGCTCGCATTCTCAACGGTCAGACTCTTCCATAAATGCAGACAAGAAGCTGCTCCAAAGGCATGCCACCAAGAATCCTGGAAACAGCTTAGATCAAGAAATATCTCGTACTACATTCAAAAGAGCACTTATTCATATTATCACTCAGTAGCATGAAGTTAAAGGGGTACAAGTGTACAAGGCTTTTGCAAGGTTCGATATAAAGGCCGTGCTACTTCGAATCGGGTTTCACAGTATGCCACAGCATAATTGGACTACAAGGGGACATGATTATCACTTGTCTCGCCCGTGAGGTTTACGGTTCAGGGCTGAGGCTACAGGGCATCAGTCGAGCTTCTTCGCACTGGGGCACCGCCTCGAAGCCAAAGCCAATTTTTCAAATTGGACACTCGTTCCAGTCGATCGCTTCACGAGTGGCGCGAGTAGCGGTTCCAGTGGTGCGCGAGTGACGCAATGAAAACATCGCTGAACTTCTACTTGTCCTCGGGTCTCCACGACTTCATGAAGGAAGCTCAGTTCTGCGAACTGCTTTTGCCCCGTTGCTCCTTGCGAAGAATAGCAAGCAACTTTCATCACAGCTTCTGTCTCGGAGCCGTCCTCGGTGTAGCGAAGGTCAAGCCCTGTTTCCTTCTTGAGCCTTGGCTTGCCGACGGGCTTGTGGATCCTCGCTATTTGGGGGTGTTGGGGTATAGGGACTCAAACTTAACGTGATGACTAGGTTGAAGAAGAGGCAAGCCCTGAAGTCATCGTCTTGATCCTTCCGCGCCATGAAATAACAAGTTTCGAGACATTGCAAGCTGTAAGGCATGGACGCACCTCTACACAAAATGCTGTCTTCGAGTTCCCCCCAGATCCAAACACACAAAACCCTCTTCCACTTATTGCTAACAGCACACAAACAAACAAACCCCTGCCCTCCGAAACTTAGAGCAAAAACATAATTCAAACCTCATGACTTAAGGCTTAACTAAGTCTTTCCCTGCCATATGCTTCATCCATCGCAGAGAGGTTTAGCCACCAGAATTCTGCGACCAAGAAACCAAACCAACTCCTAAAAGCACTGTCGCAGTAGAAAAATCCCCCACACACCATACTCAGGGGTTACCCTTTGCATGCCGCCTGGAACTTCGTTCTCCAAAGATGTTTGCATGCTGTCTCAACTGTTTCATGTCCGGTCCTCTCTTGTTTTGACACACGCACACTGTGTCTCTGCGCCCAGTTCGGAAACCGAAAAAAGCATCCGAAGGCATGCTCAGCAGCTTTTTTTATTCTTATGTGATCTCTAAGTCTCCCTTTCATGCCTCCGTTCGCTTTCGTTTCCTCTTGTCTCCCAAACGCACTGGATTCAAAGCTCTATTCAGCCAGCTCCAGGCGAAGAAATAGGCTTGCGACATACTCCTTTCCCTCGCAGGCATGGTTTTCGCCAAGGTGATTCTCTCATTCAGCTGCTCGACATTCAAATCGGGATTGTAAGAGGCGCTCACACTGTTCCTTAGCTGATGCGGAACCGGCATAGAAGATCACCGGTATGAATCAAGAAAACGCAGCACACTCAAACTGCAGCTTTGTCGCTGCCCTTCGAAAATCTTGCCATTCTGTAGCTTTGCTTGAAAGAGTGGCAGCGAGCTGTCCCGAAACTGCGTATGGTGCATCCAACCACCAGTAGGAATCGGAAACTTGTCGAGCAGCCACTGTGGCACCGTCTGCGTCTTGCTGAGCAAAGCTTTCGAAGCACGAGTGGTCTCAGCTGGGGTCGTCTGCTCCTGGGTTTTGCAACACGGAATACTGTAATGATTTGCAGACATAGATAAAGAAACGAAATTCACCCTACTACTCGGTTCCTAAGGATTATAAAATCGTAACCTCTCCAACCGGCCCTAACCACTACCGAACTCAACACTGCCGTGCCTCGCTTGCTTCCTCTTTCTTCTCCTCCTTCTTTTCCTCCGCTTCTGCCTCGGACTCATCACCCAGCTCCTCCAGCAGCTGGCAGCAGGCCGCCACGGCCGGATCTTCATCATTGGCTTTCTCGGCCGCGGTCTCGTCCTCAAAGAAACAAGACACAAATCATAGAGTTTAGCTCCTAGGAGTTGCATATCAGATCATCACCAAAAAAAGCTACTCTCGAATCTAGGTTCGTGCATGGTGACATCATCGCCTTCGGCTTCTGCTGCTTTCTTCTTTGAATGCCGGTTCTTGTCGATCTCGAGCAGCTTCGCTTCCATTCGTGCCACACCAGCATCACCGATCGCCTGCTTGACTTCGTCCAGTGTCATCAGCTTTGTGATCTTTGCATGCTTGCTGCTGTTCTTGGGCATACGGATGCTGTAGGCGGTGAGGATGTCGGAGAGGGCGGCGGATGTGATGCTCATGATGTTCTCCGACACGAAGAGGTGCACGAGCAACGAATACGGCTTCGGCCCTCTGCGAAAGAGGATCCCACCGCACTTGCTTTCCATCGAAGTCGGGCAGACGTGCAAAGTGTAGCAGAAGATTTCGACCTCTAAATGTTCACTAATGTGTATAGTTTCAAGTCAAAAGAAAACCGGTCTGAAGCTACGGTCTCAGAATGCTTTCCATAATGTTGTAAACTGGGCAGCATCATGAAGTCCACACAGGCGGTGCGTGAACATGCTCCTTGGAAGGCAGACAGAACGTCGAGTTATGATCGATAAGGCACAAGAATTCACAACCATAGCCCTCGACCAAAAACAACAGTTTAGATCATCAGCTGTGTCTCGGCCCACTGTCCATGCTCAGCGCCCGCGTGCTGTCTGCCTCCCCATCAAAAAGCTCCCGGGTCTCCGTCGCCTTGTGCGTGCTCGCCGGCATTCTCCTCTCGTCCACAGTCTCAGCTGGCAGCGGGCCCTTAAAGCTCCAGACAATCTCTTTGAGGCGGACAGCCTCAGCAGAGTTGTTTTCGAATCTGAATAGATTTGGAACAGTAACACGTGCACCAAAATATTCATGGGCTTATGGGTCTATGATGGTTTATGGAGGGACTGTCTATAACTATACTATACCCAGGCCTTACACAAACGACTACTAATTCATGCACTACTTATGAATCCATTGCCAAACATCAACAGAAAAAGTGCTAATTCATCATTTGGTCGCGTGCACGATTGCAGGGCTTCTGCCGGTGCAAAGAAAGTATGCACCTCCTTGCCGGAAGAGTGTTCCTTTTTGGAAGCATCCAGCCACCCACATACTGCTCATCGAATCGATGGGGCTCGTGCCGGTCCTGCTAAACACGATTTGCTAAAAGGCAGGTTTGCTTCGGCAGTTGTTTGCAAGAGTAGCGAGAAAAGTAACACAATGAGCCCGGCCTTTTCGCCTCCTTCCATCCCAAAACACAGTTGAAGTTGTGGTGTGTTTGAGAGTAGGCGGACATGGTCGTAAAGGGCTTCAAGATATCATCGATTCGCACGTTCTTGCCTTGGCTGCTGTGTTTCCCAAATGGAACCGTCTCTGAAACTTCAAACTAATCCAAGATGCACGGGGGAGCTGAAGTTGGATGCCACATCTTGTCCTTGAGGTTGCGAACCACCTGGCCCTCCCAGTCCTTCTCAGACAAAGTCGGTGTCGCCGGACACTCGTCGCCACAGCAAACTCTCCTGCTCATGGCCCTCACAGCCACACAAGTGAGGTTCGGCATCGAGTTTTCCACATGGCCCACACGTTTCGTAGCTTGCTCCATCTCTCGAAAGATCTGCTCCAAGTTGGCCGATTGCCCCCACCGAGGGAACCATGCTTGCACCATGTCTGCAATTGCCTGGCAATCCTTGAAATTGTGCATCTGCATTGTGGCCATAATTTCCCGGTACACCTGGAACGTGGTGTGCAAGGCATGCTGCTTGAGCACACTGGCGCCAGAGGCTGTGGCCTCGATCTCTCTGATCAACTTGTACTCATTCTCAGCAGCCTTGAGGAGGTCGCTCCGGCTTTCCGCGGTGGCCTGTGTTGAGCAGAAGGCGGCTGCCCGACATGGGAAACTTCGGAGTTAAAGTGCATACTCCAGGAGCCCGTGGCAACAGCTCAGGAAGCCCAACACCTGCTCTTTCAGAACCTCCTCGTCCAAAAACGATCGGCGAAAGCCAATGCTCAGGACCTGTTCCAGAATCAACGAAACCGGGCCATAGTTACTTGCTGCTGCTTTTGCTGCTCATTCTTTGCTTGAATCATCGAAATAGAACCTGGGAGGCGATTTGAAATACGTGTGTGTTTTCGCACCTGGGCCTTGGAAACAAGTGTGCCCCAAACATGCGTACAATCATTGAATACCTTGAAGTCGTTTCTGAGCATGCATCATCCGATTCGGTCGCTCGCTGTTCGCTTTGTGGGGTCAATTGTCTAGCGATCGAAACAGCGGTCAACTGGGCTGGCTTCTCCTACCGACGTGTTGCAGACACGACTGGTGACTATTTAAGAACCCCTCCCAGATTCGGGTCACCATCACTCTTTTTTTCTCTCTCTCTCTCTCTCTCTCTCTCTCTCTCTCTCTTTCTCTCTCTCTCTCTCTCTCTCTCTCTCTCTCTCTCTCTCTCTCTCTCTCTCTCTCTCTCTCTCTCTCTCTCTCTCTCTCTCTCTCTCTCTCTCTCTCTTTCTCTCTCTCGCTCCCTCCTCCTCGTCTGCTGCTTTCGTAGTTTTCTCCTATCTATGTTTGTTCTGCTTCATTCTCTCTCCTTGTCTCTCGGTCTCTCTCTCCCTCCCTGTTTCCGTCTGTGTTTCTCTGCGTGTGACACTGCTGTTAGGGCGTGGGTTTTCGGGATCGAAGCAGCTGTGTATTGGACTGGAGTAAAGCCCTCAATCCCCCAAGCCAGCACATCCAAGATTGTGCTGCCTGCCGGCTTTTGTTCTGCAGCTACTCAGCCCTTCTTCGAGTTGGTTTCATGATCGTCGTGCTACGTAACCCGGCAATGCTTGTACCTCGATTCCACACTGCAGTTTGCGTGCCAGGTTCGGTTTTGGTGTAGGAACGGTATTAGTTAGTTAGTTCGTATTGGGTTCAGGGATTCGGGTTGTGCCCTAGGCTAGGATAATAAACCCGACTAGTGGCTGCTCTCCTCGATGCCCTGCCTCGTCTGCAATCCCGATGATGTCTGGCGGCTGGTGGAGCCGAGAGGAGCACAGCACTTCGGCAGCCAGGTTGCTAAGAGATCGTTCCAGGAAGTCGGAGTTCATCTTTAGCACATGATCATGCAAAGCCATGAGCTTCTTGCTCTTCTGCTGCTTAGTTCAGATCAGCAATTGGCAAATACTTGTAAGCCACACTCACAAGCTCACACGAACTCATTATTAATCAAGGCACGAGGTCGATGCACATGTCGCGGAAGGGCTTCATGAGCTCGCGGCCGAACTTCCAGAGGGTGTGGACTTGCTCATCACACAAAGCCTGTTGCAGGATTGAGAGTAACAGGCTTGGTTTGGAGGGTGCTTGAAGGATCGGTTCGGGCCTTGATGCACAAATCAAGTACTTTGTCCCAAGACTTCTCCGGAGTCTCTTGGCTCGCTTTGTCCAGCACTGCAAAGGGGTTGTGGCCAGTCTGGCAACAAGATCGCAAGACTAGGGCTTTGTGTGTTCATGCAAGCGTCCCTGCAGCAAACATTGCACCCGCATTGCCTCCATTCCAGACCAGAACATCAGCAACAGTGTTCCGGAGAATTGGCATCTCCGGGAGGCAAAAGCCCAGCTACACCATCGTTTGTGCTCGTAGCTCTCTTGATGGATCCTTCAGAAGTAGTCGTCACTAGATGGTCTGTGTATCTCTATCTCTCTCTGTCTCTTCCTCTCGCTCTCTGTATCTACACATATACATATATATATATACATACAAACATACAAATTCATTTGTTGTGTTCGTCTACATATGTACAGACTTAACCCTAGAGGTCACGGTATTGGATTGCGAGAAGACTTGATCTGGCAAAACCGCGTCCTGCAGAGCTTCCCAAGAATCTCGGATACCCGATCGAAATTCACCTGCTCGTCGCACTCGGGGGCGATGTTGTTCCTGGTTTGTGGACAGGACAGCGAGAAAGGTAGAAAGGATAGTACATTCCCAGCCAAGCTTCTCAATCAGGATATGGTGGCCGAAGAGCTGCTGAAGAACATCATCAGGTGCAGCCTCGGCAGCACGAAGCAGCTTGTGATTCACAGCCATCAGCAGTGTTGAGCAACTAGGCTAACTAGGGTCTAAGTGCTTCCCAGTGACCACATCAAGATATCGCTTGCCAGCGGCACAGAGATTGCAGCCAATGCCGTGCGTTTTCCACGGGCTCTTGCGACATCTGAAAAGCCACGAAGTGAGCGTACTCATTCCTCAAACCCACAATGTCCCTAGCAGCTGCCACACACAAAAATCCAGGACAGAACCCGAACTAGTCTCATCCGAGGATCGCTTCATCATAGGCGACGATGCCAGGACTCGCTGGCAATGCTGGCTCAGCTTGTGCCTTGGCTGTTGCAGGGCAACGATTATGACTATGGAGTAATTCTGGCATTCGGCGCTGCATTCCCTTGAATGAAACAAGTAGCAGCCTAGTAGCAATTCATCGCGGCACAAATTGATGGCGGCATTCCGGGTGGCCAAAAACACATAGCTGCTGAACATCGGGCTGCCCTCGTCAGGGCACACGATCAATCGAACATGTGCGGACTCAGTGTCCGGGACGTCCCATCTTGAAGTCGCGTCTTGAAGAGATGCAACGAAAGGCATAGTCTTGCCGTCCATTTCATAAGTCGCCAAGATCTCAGAAGTTGGGGCCAGAGGCTTTAGGGGGCTCTTTGGAAAAATGTCATCCAATGCCACTCCCAAGTGATTCAGGACATTGCCAACCGCTCGGATGTGCTCTCTGGCGGTGAGCTTGTCTTGGTGCAGGCCGCTGATGATTCTGGGCCTTTTTGGATTGATGGGAATCTGTCGTATGCTGCAATCACTGAATCAAGCAATGGGCTGTGCCTGTACATGTAATAAGCAGCGTACAGTAAACCACAAAGCAATTGCTAGCCCAGCTTCATTTTGGGTCGATGCTCCTTCTTGTCCCGGCTTGCAACCAACAGTTTTGTAGTGGAGTCGGCCACTTGTTGAGCGGCTTTCATCTTTTCCGAAGCATCAGCAGTGCTCGGCAGCAAAGCCGACAGCTTCTGTAAAGTTGCCACGGATGCAAACTGATTCGCTGCGACGACAGGGAGCCAAACCTCGGGTTCAGCAGCACATGCATTCAGAATCACCAAGAGACTGTTGCACATTCTTAGATTAGCCGAAATACATCAACACATCCCTTCGGTGATGCGTCGCACAAGAAGGCCAAGCTCTTCAGCGACTGCTGTGCCATCTCCTGCGGACAACTGCGTCTGCCTCTACATGGTTTACATTTACTGAATGCCAGCGGGAGCCTGGGATAGCATCTCGCCAGTTTTTCGAATATGTCTGTAGACAAAATCCGCCGTTGTCCTTGCAGGTGCAAAATTTGTTTGGTTTAGAACCCAACAGCAACAGGCCCCAGTAGCTCAGCAAAACAAAACTCAGACGAAGGTCCGATTGTAGTTGGGAGGGAGGATTCCACCCAAATCCAAGGACTCCAGGCTGCTGTCTGCGGTGGAGCTGACGAATCCTCCGCCTCTTGTCATGAACCTGTCGATTGCCAGCATGTTCTGCACTTTCGGCTCGCCACGGGCTCGCCGCCCATCCCTGAGTCAGGTCGCTATCAACAGAGAATCGCATTGCCACGTGTACTTCGAACAAACTGCTAGGTCTACCCTACTTGTGGTTGCCGAGTGGCCTTTTAGCCGGGTGCAGAACATCTCCACTTTGCGGTGTGGGCAACGTAGCCTGAAGCACTTTGCTCAGGTGGGTCTCCACCAGCTGCGACAGGCGATGAATCAGGCGCTTGTGCAGCCGGCTAAACCGAATCTCGTCCTGGCACAGTCAGCGGCTTATGCTTCAAGGCGGAGTCCCCTACTATTCGCCCTATTCAGCGGCTGTCCTGAAAGGTCTCCTGAAAAGGTGCCCGAAAGATGAACCATGCCACCGTAGACATTCGGACTCCTGCAAAGTCTCAGCAAACACTGTGTCCAACAATTGAGCATGAACTTCGGATTCCACATAGGCCTGTGTGGAGGCTTCGCTGTGCAGGTGTCAGCAGCTGGTTGCGTTCCCACCTTCGGGTTCAGGGCTTCGGAATTGAATGAAGTAACTATTAATCAATTTAGTAATCCTGACAGCTAATTAACCTAGGCCCCTCAGTAGCCCCTTATTTATGAACCAAGGGTGCCCCTTTCTTATTAGTCGGTTTTAATCAGGGAACCCTAAAATCCAAAAGGGTAAAAGGGTGCTATTCAGGAACCTAGTAATTAGTCGTTAGTTAGTTAGCTATATGATTATGATTGGTTGCGGCAAGTACAGTCGCGAGCCTCTGGGTGAGCCCGGTGTAGTCGAGGAAACTCTTCAATCCCGAAAGATCCACTTGGCGGTCTTTGATTGTCAGGGAGCCTAAGCTACGAAGTCATTGCAGAAATCTTGAATCATTGAAGGTGCAAGCATGAAGCTTATCTAGTCCTAGGATCATTCAGCGTTGCCGGGGAGAAGATCCAACACGTAATCGGCCGGCAAGGCAGCTCCTGTGATCACTTCCATTGCTGCAATCGCAGACTTCTGCAACTGAGGCTTGCAGCCCCGCACTTGCAGCCCACAGGCCACCTTGGCATTGCAAGTGGACAAGCACATAAAATAAGAAGCATCGCGACTGCAGTGCGTGCACATCTGCTCCTGTTATTGGTGCCAAAGCACAGAAAACAACAGACCGGGTGTGGTCATGCCGTCGAAGCTGATTCGTGGCCGGTCATCCAGCACAGCTGCTTTGTGGCCACGATAGTGTTGTCTTCTAATGAAATGAACAGAGAATGCCACTCGCCATGCATCGGCCAATTGGGCACCCTGGAGGTCTTGCCTTAGGCACATTTGCTACATGAGTAGCAGTGACGAAATACTTGCATTGTAGGAAACCCTGCCACCACAGTCCAAGGTACACTTTCGTGAACCAATTATGAAAGGCTGTTTGCCGTTTCATAACTTGCCATGCCTCCTCCACTCTCCAGAGAAAAGTGTATCCCTGGAGGTTCTGGTCCTGGTCCAGAACCTGCAGAGGGGCTTGGCAGAATGAGACCCTCCGGTAGATTTAAATTAAATTACTACACACCATACCATTTCATCGTAGCAGAGCCTTGTGTAGCTGCAGTACACCCTTGACGGCGGCCCGACAATCAAGATAAAGTGTTCGCAGATTGCAGTAGCTGGTTCCAGGGCTAGTTTCACTAACAGAGGTGGCCGGCTCGGCTGCTTCTGAAGCAGCAGGTGGCTCTTCGGCAGGAAATATTCTCGGTCGCAAAGGCACTTTCATGTCCAAGCATCTCGCCCGGAAGGAATCAATGAGATCCTTGGTGACCAGGTTTGTGTTCGAACAGAAACAGAAAAGGACACCAGCAAGGCCTTAAGCTTTAGTGCAAATGGAGAACCTCCCAGGATGCGGGTGTCAGGGCCATTTCCCCCAATGGCCGGCCATCCCGAAAACATTGATCGATGAATTGCATCTTGCGATGGATATTAGCCCTGGCTTCTGCTGCAGTGTCGTCGGATGTGCTCCTTGGGTAGTGGGATGCAGACTATGGCTAGATTGCAATCGAGGTAGCACGTTGGGTTTGCGAGGCGGCACGTTCGGGCTGAGGCGGCACGCTGGGTACCGTGTGCTCGCATCCAAGGCACTCGCTGAGCTCCTGCAGCCTGGCCGTGAACCATCTCACCGCTGGCATTCCTGGGCGCTGTGCGGGGCGGACATGGGTGGACCCTGAGTTCCGCCTGAATGGGGGGTCACGTAGGATTGGTTTCCCTTTCGGTGGTGTCGGGGCTGATTTTCGAGGCGGCACGCTACCTAATGTAATCGAGGGAGCACGCACGTATTTGAGGGATGCTTCGAGGGATTCTGTTCTAAGCAGATTTGCGGGCTTCTAAGATAAATGCCTTCCGCCTCGACGTTTTGTTTTCGGCACGTAGTACGACGTTGCGGGCGGAAATCTGCTGATGCGGCACGTTGCAGTTGGGGCGGCACGTTAGAACACGAGGTGGCACGCTAGGCGGGCCTGGTGTGATGAGGTGGCACGTTACAGCATCCAGGCGGCACGTTCACCATCCCAAAAAAACCCAAGAACCCTCAATTGCTACTAAATATGAAGAACTGCAACTTGGGCCCAGCAGCTCGCCGTAGGAAACGTAAACCCAGGCACCCGGTCCAGTAGTCCTGTAAGCCTGTAAGCAAGAGGAGCAGCCCTGACCCCGAAAACCAAACCCTAATCTTGAATTTCAGCAACAGGAACAGCCTCGACCCCGAAAACCCAACCACTCACAAAGGCTTTCCCACACAGCCAAAGACTCTAAGTCTAAACCTGGCCTGCAAAAATAGAAGGCAGTGAACCACTGCAACCAAGTCTCCGGTTGGATGCGGTTGGTAGCTCGCTGCCACCCAACTACTCCAAACGTAGGATCAGGGGTCCATTGATGTATAAGAAGTAGAGTTTCAACAAGCGAAGACGTTTTGGAGTGTTTTGCCTTACTATTATCCAAGTCAGAAGCCCAGGCCTAGTTATTAACTGTTATTGACCTAAGGAACTATTGCCTACATATCGTTCAACCAATGAAGAGGTGCTGTCCTGTTGTTCATCCAACCAAATGAGTTTCTCGTCTAGCATACTCAGCCCAACACCGCAGAGACACTATCCTATTGTTTTATAATGGATCATCGAAACATCAAGCCCCTGAAAAAGCTTCGAGAATTCAGCGGTTCGCGATGTTGAGATCTGGCTGCAAGCAACGACCGATTCCAACATTCTCTCGACTGCAGCAAGAGAAGCAGGGCCGTGGCAAAGCATTCGTTTTCAAAGTGCTCGTCTGAACCCCCGAGCTTCGGCTTTGTCAGGTGCCCCGAAACAAAACTCCGGGCTTCAATCTAAAGTCAAAACACCTCCCGGTCCACAGAGAGGAAGCTTCACGATGAACACCCAGCTCAGGTGTCGATGCCGCCGGGGCTGCTTTTCGTGCCGCGAGCTGGGGTCTCCTGGCAAAACAAACATAAAGAGAGCGGGTTTACAACAACCGACCGAAGCGAAACCGAGTTCCTGAAGCCCCTTCCCAACCCTGAGAGGGGCCCTGGCCTCGGTTTGAAGAAGCTTGCTTTGCCACATCTTGGCAGCCTTCTTGGCCAAGGCACTCAGCCGAGAGTACAAGGATTTCGACTCCCCCAGGTTCCCGAGGAAGCCTCCTGTCAGAACAAGGAAACTGTTTATGTGGAGTAGGAGTATAGCAATGGGGCCTTTTAGGTACTGGCCTCCATCCAGGTCCAGGCAATCAAGTAGGGATTGCATAGTGAATACCTCCTCTTTCAGCAAGATCTGCACCAGCAGGCTGTAGTCTGCCCTAAGTTGCACAAACAAGCCAGGTAGTATTGCAAGTCTAAGCAGGAACCGGGTTGAAACATCCATATATTATATCAGTTGAGCAGCTGGGGGATGTCTTCTGGCAAAGAACTCAGGACAGACCCCTCGATCTCCCGGGCTTGCTTTTGAATCTGTTGGCTCAGCTCCCCGAACCGCCCGGAAAATGGACCTCCAGAAGCCTTGCTTTTAGCCTTTGCCTTGCGGGCAAAGTCGCCACGAAACAGATCACTGTCCGAGGAGCCGCCGTCCTTCTCCTCCTTATCATCCTGTGGCTCCTCGTCATCATCATCCCCGGGTGGGCTCATAGACCTCGGAGCAGCTTCACTTTCCTCATCATCATCATCATCACAGCCATCATGATCACTGCTTTTCTCCTCCTCTTCCTCCTTCACTTTGGTGCCTTTGCTCGGCTTTGGGCCGGTCGGCTCCTGCAAGTTTGGAAAACGAAGACTGTATGATACCCTAGACTCAGCAGCTAAGGAACAAGCTCTGTATCTGAACTGCCACGATGTCCTTACTGGGCTTGGCTTGCTTCTTGGCCGCACTGAGGCTGTTCTGCAAATCTTTGGTCGCATCCTGGGGCAGTGTGTGGAGGGTTCTGGGCAATAGTTGGAATAGCAGGAGCAGACACAACAGCCGCCTTCCGAAGCTTTTCCATCTCAGCTTCCAAGGCGGCTTCCAGGTCCTTCTTCATCCATAGTTTCTTCCTGCACATAGAGCAGAGCTGGGATTGTGTTTGGGGGATACAGGGCATGTAGTAGTAT